CAATAAATAGAAGGAGGCCTGCCCACATATTTACACCCAAAGAACTAGTAAAGAATGCAGGAGCTCATCTGTGCCTATGTTTAGAAGCTTTCATGTTCTGATTTCCCTAAGAGGAGACTGCACCAGACAAAGGACTCTCATTTGTTCAAAAAACCACATATTGTGGACATGAAGAAGTTGAAAAAAAGAACAGCAGTTTGATATCTTGGAAGGAGAATAGAGACATTTAAAACATTGACTGCAACAGTGGCAGGTCCTCAAGAGATGGAACAACATGAATGGGTAGATGGAGTCAACTGTTCAAATCATCTGATCATAGAGAGGGAGAGAAGACTGAAAGTGGATGAAGATGAAGAGGAAGCAGAGTCCTCTCACAGAGATGTGGCCTACATCAGTGTCTCCAGCATGGGAGACACTGATACCATAGCAGCCTGCAGAGTATTGGAAGGGAGAAGACTTATTCTAGTGCCAGCTGCCAACTGCTGTTTTCTCTTTAGGATCTAGCAAGTCATCACTCTACAGGGAAAATTATTCCATGAAGCCAATGCAATCCAAGATATGTCTTAAATTTTGATTATAATGCAGCCTCCTTTAAAAATAAAACAAAATGAAACAATACCTGAACAGAAGGGACACAGCACATATTTGAGTACAATTAGAAGCAAGTAGGGCAGAACCTTCCAAGTAAAACAGATATTAGTAATGTGCATATTTGAAGATCATAATAACTAATGACAGCAAATATCTTTGTCAAAATTCATTTAATGAAGTTAATTGAAAAGAAAACATTGGCAGTTTCATTCTCTTTCTTTTCTTTCCAGTTGGTACATTCTCCAATGAGTCAGCATACTTAGAATTTGGAAGTCTTCCTGAAGATTAGGGTCCATAAAACAAAACAAAACAAAAGTCAAATTTAAAAAAGTAACAAATTAGAACTATTAGCCATTAATGTGAGTAGCTAAAAGTCTATTATATAGCAGCCTGTGACAGCTAATCAATAAGCTGGTGATGATGAAGTCTTTAAGAATCAGACAAAAACAACTACAAATAACCCATCTCTTGTCCTATAAAAGGAAACTCCAATAGTGCCTGTTAAAGGAGTTATAATGGAGTTATAATGAGCTCCACTTGCTGTGACTTCACATGAAGCAAGCTACATCCTATACTGATGGCACTAGACCACCATCCCAACTCCCCGGATAGCCACCAAGACACCTTGACAGGGATTATTGCCAGAGTATGTGGGTTATGAGGACAAGAGTTGAGTCTTTTAGATGCTAATCTGCCATGTGACTCCTTTTTAACCCCAAGTCTGGGAATGCTTCCAAGATATCTAGTTCATGCTTTACTTTTTACATAGAAACACCTATTTACTGTAAGGCTTACTTTTCCTCCAAAAGAAGCCTTGACATTGCAGAAATCATAGGCTGAGACACTCTCAGCATTCCTTCCTGAGCAGACATGCTTTTCTTCCAAAACAGGACCCCTGGGTCTAGGGGGCTGCAGTGTTGAGATCTACTTGTCTTGCTGCTACACATGTAGCATGTTTCTGTCTGTAAGCTCCCCAGAAAATCACCCTTTACCAACAAACTAAATTTATCTGCCTTGTTCTTTGGTTTCCGGGCTCCTTTGACATTTGAAGACCCTTTTGCATATAAAGCCTGTTCATAGAATGGGGTCTTTGCACACATTGACTGAATATGCAGTCTGGGGACAGTGGGAAAAGCTCCATGTGACTGTGTGGGTCATACATGTTTGTGCACATAGGTAGATAAGCCAACATCTTGGCAATGACAGGATTTTATTTTCTGAGTTTGGTAAATGTTTTACAACTTTTAAATCCTAAGAAACATAAACACTATAGAAGCAAGGAGGTTGAAAATAGCATCCATTTTGATGCCAACAATCGACAATCCTAGGTAGCCAAAGATAGCCTTACTAAGCAATGTGGCTGCTTTTTGTGTCAAAGGAAGACTCACTTTGGTAAGTAGCCTTTTAAAAGCATTCACTGCTTTAGTGTGTGAAGTGCATAATATTTTCCCATCTTGTTCATATGAAAGACTTTTTTTTGACACTTACAACTTAACCATTGGATAAAAAGATAAACAGAAGAAAAGGATCTTCACTGCATTCTGTCAGCAGACAGCACAAAGTCTAGTCTGACCAGGTGGTGAGAAACTGATTTGTCTTCCTTGGGAATGACGACAGCAAGTGGGCCTGAAGAGAGTCTCCCTTGGAATTAGTGAGGACCCAGGGAGAAAGTAAAAGCCCACCAGGCTGAGCTATCTTTAGAATGGAAAATATGAGGTGCTTTTTGCTTATTCTTAGAAGAAAACTCAAGGGCCAAAAATAAATAGACTTCCTGGAGTATGCATTTAATAGATTCTTAAAGTAATCTGAATATATTTCATTTAAGAAACTGCTCATTAATTTTTAGACTTTTTTTACTGGCAGAAAAATCTCCTTTACATCCATTTAAATGGACTTCTCTTTACTTTTACTTAAAACTTAAAGTCAGTCAGTTCAATTCACTCATACCACACCTACTTCTGCCTTATAAAACAATAGACAGCAACCCATGGGCATTTGAAGTAGAATTCAGAATCACCTGACAACTTACCCTCCTGCTCTTCTTGTTTCCTACTGTGGCCTCTCCTTGGTTCATGAATCTCATGTCCAGTTCTATTTTTTAATGGACTCTTCCAGACTCACTATTATTCGCTTGCCCTATGGTTTTGACCTTAGGTCTTTGTTCTGTTCTTCCAGATTTATATTTCTCTCCAAACAGTTATAAAAATTAGTGTAATCCAAACAGGGTATTGGGTTAACATTTTTAATGATCTTAAAACAGTGGCAGGTGTATAGTTACAATGCAATAATTTTGGTATTATCTTTTAAAAATATCATTATTATGATAAACAATTAAGAGCAGAATCTTTGGGGATATCAAATTCCTTTTCTTTGTAGGTTTCTAAAAGCCATTTTTTCATTTCCTGGGTGGACTTATTAACTAGGTAGGGTGCTAAGGCAAGGCTAGTATTCATAATCCTGCCAGAAAGGACTGGTGTTCTAGCAACTGGAGTCTTGTTGCCACTCTATTGTGACTTCGTAGGTGCAACTCCTCTTTTCTCACCTCAGAGTTGGTAATATCTGCATTCAATGAAAGAAGAGCAGGTGGCTAGTCTTGCAAAGCTGAGGACAGTCCATTGACCCAGGAGTTGCTCTTATATGAGGCTCTGGCAGAAGCAGCTGTTTCCCTTACTTTGTGTACCTCAACAATGACCTTGGGCCAGAGCCCCTAATCCCCAATTTTGCTGCACCGAATTTTGTTAACATACATTTTGCTATTTTGTCAGCAGAAAGTCACTTTTCTTCTTTTACTTTCATGATATTCAGGCTTATATTTGTTTTCTTTTTAATACACAAACAATTGTTGAGGTTTGCTTTCTAGGAAAGTTGAAATGAGAGACAAAAAATCTTAAATCTTGAAAATTATATAGAAGAACAATGTGGTTCCTTTGCCTTTCTTTTACTTTTCTTTGTTTCAATTCATCATGAGTAAGAACATCATATAGGAGAAGCAAGATATACCTTACCTAGTAAACCACTACATAAAAAGAAGTTACAAAATTTCAACATGAAAAATCACAAACAAGGAAAGAAGGCTATTTCTTTATTACTGAATAGCCCGAGCCTCACTGTCCTGCATTGTCAGAGTGAGATAGACACAGAAAAAGACCCCATAAGAATCACACTGACTGGATAAAAGAACTTGAGATCACAGTTTCTGTAAATTAGATTGTAGTAAAAGAAAATATTGTTACTGAATCCCCTGTGCCCACCTCAGAATCTTCAAGCATAACAAATTTTCAGTGGTTTAAGTAAAGGTCTTCATCAATAAAAATAGTACTTAGCAAAATAAAAATTACTTGACTAAGGGATATAAAATGATTGCAGTTGCATAAGTCCTCCACCTCTTTAGACAAAGCAAGCCTTTGCTATGAGCATTGGAGGGCTGTTGAAACTTTTGATACCTGGGAACATGGCTCAGGAGAGGAAGAAGCCATCACTGAGGGCTAGAGTCCTTCACACAAACACTCAGGGGCAAGGGCAAGGGCAAGGGTCTTAGAAGATGCAGTATTGTGGCAGCAAAGAATCAAGACACTCTTCAGGAGCAGAATTCTCAAGCCATCAGGACATGGTAAGCCTGCTCTCAGGGAATAAGTTTTGAAGATTTTGGATTCAGGACACTTTATTATTCTATAGGACAAAGTATTACTGAATATGATAACTACCTTGTGAGTGAGGTGATGTTGGAAAAAACATCACCACAACTGTATGCACCTGAAAAGAGGCAGAATTCCTCCTGGGGGAATTGACACAGCCTGAAGTGCACTTAGACTACGAGTAAGAAATAGTGAAAAAAAGAGCAGTGTCTGCATTAATCCTGACTTTGTGACCCCCATGAAGCATAGCCTCATGGACCTAAATAAATGTATTTCGGAAGGAAGAGAAATTTCATAGAAGTTCATTGACCAATACCCGTTAATCTCTGCTGTGAATAAAATAGCAAACAAACCCAGTCCCAAAGAGTTTCAATGCCATAGATGGCCTGGTATGTATATATATATATATATATATATATATATATATACACACTTAGGTTTTTAGAACAAAGATGTTTCTCATGTAACTGATAAATATCCATTTTGATTCACACCTCTAAAGTTTTCTAGGAAAATTAAACTTTTATTGCATAATTAATAGTATTGAGTGATGTTATCGTCTTAGATCATGTTGAGAATAAAAAAATAAAAAAGGGAAGTAAGTGTAAAGGAATGCAGAAAATGAAAACTATTTGCTTCCTATTAAAAACCATGCATAGCGAATGTCTTCAGAGAACCTAGGTTCAAAGGTACACTCAGACCCCAGCTCTACCAGGCCAGCAGCACCCTCATTTCCCAGTGGCCTGGCTCCACCCTCTAGTGGTGGCCCGAGTGATGTACAGCTGTGGCTCTTTTGGATCTCTGGGATGTTACCTGCTTCCAAACCATGGTCTGACAGGAAGGAAGATTTTGGTGTTTCTGGGCCAAATGAGGAGGATCTCCCCTTTTTTGTGTCTCAAGGACAGAAGAGACTTCAGATTTCCCCAGGAGATGGTGGATGGCAGCCAGCTGCAGAAGGCCCAGGCCGTGTCTGTCCTCCGTGAGATGCTGCAGGGGATCTTCAGCCACTTCCACACAGAGCGCTTCTCTGCTGCCTGGAATATGACCCTCCTGGACCAACACTACACTGGACTTCATCAGCAGCTGGAACACCTGGAGACCTGCTTGGTGCAGGTAATGGGAGAGGGAGAATCTGCTGGGGTGTTTGGGAGCCCTACACTGGCATTGAGGATGTACTTCCAGGGAACCCGTCTCTACCTGAAAGAGAAGAAACACAGTGACTGTGCCTGGGAAGCTGTCAGAGTGGAAATCATGAGATCCTTCTCTTTATCAACAAACTCTCAAGAAAGATTCAGAAGTAAGGTTGGAAACATGGAGTCATCTTGAAATAATTCTCATGGACTAATCTGCCATGTCACTTGCAAGTGTGATCTTGGATGCTTTAATAGACTCATTTCTGCTTTAGTTACTGAATTGGTTGAGTTAAATTCAGCAAATACTTCATCAGTATATTAAGCAAGTATAAGTTCAAAATATTCAGCTCCAGTAGCATCGGCCCCTAATAAATGACTGCCCTGGTGTTATTTATTTCCATAGTTTTGCATATATTGTGTTTATAACATTTAGATATTTTACATATAATATGTTCATCTTCACATTATATTAAAATTTACAAGATATGTTCACTGTTTAATGTTATTAAATTTGCAGTTTTTGACTTATTAAATGTTTATCAAAGAAAATGTTTATTCTAAAACCTAAGCCAAATTGAAGAAAGGATTGTGAAATTTAATTACTCATTCATTCCATTCACATTATATTTATGAATTGAGTAAGTGGCAGACTGTAGAAATTGCTTCAAGAAATACAGGTGACTAGAGCAAACAGTTTCTGCTCTGTTGGAATTCTCAGTCTAACAGGGAAGGAGATATAAAAACCATATTAATGTTTATATTATTTTGGTTATATTAAGTACCTGAAAGAGAAGTACAGGAAAATTATGCTCTTACACGAGAATCTTTAGGTGTAAATGATGCTAGGAGGGAAAAAAATTTGATGTTCTTCCCAAAGTGCCTGGGAGACATGAAAGTGCAGAGGTCTTATTGGCAGTTGGGAATGTGGGTCTAGAGTGAACAACAAATGCCATGGGCATAGGTATTATTTTAAGATTCTTTATTGCATTTCTGGCTATCAGGTCATGGGAATGGACATGATCATCTAAAAATAAGAGAAGAAAATGAAATGAGGACTAATCTATGTTCTGTACACTGTTAATATTTAAAGTTATAGAAGAGAAGGAGAGTCTGCAAAAGACACTGAGGTTGAGTGGCCGGTGCAGTTAGAAGAAGAAAAAAGGGAGAATGAGGGAGAGACTAATGAAGGGAACGGTAGTGCTTTCAGGGAAGATGGGGACTGACCTGTCCTAGTGGAGCTGAAAATATACTCCACCATTGATCTTTGGATGAACTGTTTTTGCAAAATGTATAGGACAGAGACCAGATAGGAATAGTTTAAAGAAGAAGCACAAGAAGTGGCATTAGGTATACTGTGTATAGAAGATCATCTTGGGAAGCTCATTTGTGGTGTTAGGAAATAGGATGACACCTAGAGGAGAGTGTGGGCTAACATTGCCACACATATTTTTCAAATGTTTTCTGAGCAACATTTTCAAAGAATAGCTGAATTTGAGTTAAACCTTTAAATATTTCTTTATTGAGATATGATTGACAAAATTGTATATTATTTAAAGTGTAAAACAGAGTGTGTAGGTATAAGTATACCTTATGTAATGATTTCTCCACATTACACAATCCACAGCTAATTAACACATTCTCCACCTGATATAGTTAACATTTTTGTTTTTGCATGCATGCTGAGAACACTAAAGATTTACTCCCATTTAAATCTTTAATCCATCTTGAGTTAATTTTTGTATGTGGTAAAATGTAGGGCTCCAGTTTCATTCTTCTGCATATGGCTACGCAGCTAACCCAGCACCATTTATTGAATAGGGAGTCTTTTCCCCATTGCTTATTTTTGTCACCTTTGTAGGAGATCAGAAGGATGTAGGTGTGTGGCTTATTTATGAGTTTTCTATTCTGTTTCATTGGTCTATGTGTCTGTTTTTGGTTACTGTCATTGTATAGTATAGTTTGAAGTCCAGTAATGTGATGCCTCTGGCTTTTTCTTTTTGTTTAGAATTGCTTTAGCTATTTGGACTCTTTTTTGGTTCCATATGGATTTTAGAATAATTTTTTCTAGTTTTGTGAAAATGTCATTGGTAGTTTGATAGGAGTAGCATCAAATCTGTAGATCGCCTTGCACAGTATGACCATTTTTAACAATATGATTATTCTAATCCATGAAAATGGAATGTTTTTCCATTTGTTTGTCTTATCTGTGATTTCTTTCAGCAGTGTTTTGTAGTTCTCCTTGCAGGTATCTTTCACTTCATTTATTAAATATATTCCTAGGTGTTTTATTTTTGTGTGGCTAAGTGGATTACATTCTTGATTTGACTCTCAGCTTGAACAATATTTATGTATGGAAATTCTGTTGATTTTTATACATTGATTTGTATCCTGAAACATTAGTGAAGTTGTTTATCAATTCAAGGAGGCTTTTGGTGGAGTCTTTAGGGTTTTCTAGGATTATATCTTTCACTAAGTTAGGTAGTTTGACTTCTTCCTTTCCTATGCCATTTATTTCTTTCTCTTACCTGATTGCTCTAGCTATCAGGTATGAATTAGGGAGGAGTCCCTTCTCTCATTTTTTTTTTTTTTTTTTATATATTTTTACTAGAATTGGTACCAGTTTATCTTTGAATTTGGCTATGAAGCTGTCTGTTCTGGGGCTTTTTTTGGTTGGTAAGTTTTGTTTTTCTTTTTTGAGACCGAGTCTTACTCTGTCGCCCAGGCTGGAGTGTAGTGGCACGATCTTGGCCTACTGCAAACTCCACCTCCCAGATTCAAGTGATTCTCCTGCCACAGCCTCCTGAGTAGCTAGGATTACAGGCATGTGCCACCATCCCCGGCTATTTTTTATATTTGTAGTAGAGATGGAGTTTCAGTATGTTGGCCACGCTGGTCTCAAACTCCTGACCTCAGGTGATCCACTCATCTCGGCCTCCCAAAGTCCTGGGATCACAGGCATGAGCCAGGGTACTCGGAATTTTTGTTTGTTTTCTGTTTTTGTTGTTGTTGTTGTTGTTTTTTAACAGATTCAGTTTTGGAAAGACCTCAAACTATGAGAATTCTAGAAGAAGACCTAGAAAACACCATGTTGGACATTGGCCCTGGGAAAAAATTATAACTAAGTCCTCAAAAGCAATTGTAACAACATTAAGTGTTCCAATCCATGAACACCAGATGTCTTTTCATTTATTTGTATCTTCTTTAACTTTTTTAAAGGAATATTTGGTAGTTTTATGTACAATTCTTTTTCCTCCTTCATTGTCTGTTCTTGAGTATTTTATTTGTTGTAATACTATTATAAAGATTATTTTCCTAAGTTTTTCAGGTATGTCATTGTTACTGTATAGAAATTTCCACTTGTTTTTGCATGTGCATTTTGTTTGCATGCAACTTCGCTGAAATTTTTTTATTGCCTCTAATGGTGTGAGTACATCTATGTGTGTAATCTTTAGAGTTTTGTACGTATAATGTGTCATCTGCAAACACAAATAATATTACTTCTTTCTTTCCAATTTGAATGCCTTTTATTTAAAATTTTTGATTTCTTAATTAAAGGATAATTCACATATGTTAAATCGTATATATTTAAAGTATGATTGAAGTATCATATATGCACACACTAATAAAACAAAAATCACAATCAAGTAATGAATATGTTTATCATACCCCAATGTTACTTTGCTCTATGAATTTGTCATCTTTGCATTGCTATTCTCTCATTTTTCCCTCTTTATATTCCTTTTTCTGAACGCTGTGAGAGTAAAGTATATATATATCATGTCCTTTTACCACCAAATATCTCAGTAATTCTTTCCTGAAAACAAGGACATTCTTTTACATAGTCCAAGTACAGTTATCAAATCTTGGAAATTTATTATAGATACTTACCTAACCTGTAGTCCACACTCCAATGTTGCCATTGTACCACCATATATGTTATAGAACATAAATATTTTTAGTAAACTTTGAAAACTATTCATTTGTTCATGTTCTATTTTTTACCAAACATGTACAATTATTTTCCTTTTTTTTAAAACACATAACAATTGTACATATTTATGGGGTACCATGTGATATTTTGATACATGATACATTTTCCTATTCTCCATTTCATTATCTTCCTTTAGTATTTATTATTTCCTGCTCTCTGCTAGCTTTGGGTTTAGTTTGTTCTTTTTTTAGTTCCATAAGGTGTAATGCTAGCTTATTGACTTGGGAATTTCCTTCTTTTTTAATGTAAGGTTTTAAAGCTGTAAGTTTCCTTGGCTGAGTGCAGGGGCTCATGATTGTAATCCCAGCACTTTGGGAGATCAAGGTGGATGGATTGCCTGAGCTCAGGAGTTCGAGACCAGCCTTACCAACATGATAAAATCCCATCTCTACTAAAAATACAAAAATTAGCTAGGCATGGTGGCAGGCGCCTGTCATCCCAGCTACTCAGGAGGCTGAGGCAGGAGATCACTCTAACCTGAGAGGCAGAGGTTGCAGTGAGCTGACATTGTGCCATTGCATCCCAGCCTGGGCAACAGAGTAAGACTCCATCTAAAACCAAACAAACAAACAAACAAATAAAACAAAGTTTAATGATTTGGACTGCTTTCACTGCATCATGTACATTTGGGAATGTGTTGTTATCATCTTCATTTGTCTCAAGATATTTTTAAATTTCCATTTAAATTTCCAGATCCTTCTTACATTTTTATCACATTTAGGCATGCTTGTGCTTATATTTTTGTCCTTGTGCATTGGGATGCAAAATCAGATGACTTTGCTTTCTAGGAAAATTGAAATGAGAAATAAAAAGTATCTGGTCTTGTGAGTACTACATGGAAATATTGTGCATTCCATTTGTTTCATAATATTCACATCCCTTTATGAATATAAATGTGAAGATGAAAATGAATGGAAGCTTGGGGTAGCAAAATATTTGCACAGTAAAATGCCACATGAAAAGGGAATATACATAAGTTCACAACACATTCTTAAGTGAACAAAGGAAAAAATACTCATTTCACAGTGTTTGATAGGCTAAGAATAATGGCTTGCACAGAATTAACCTGCATTCTCAGAATGTGATTATTACGGTGAACCCTAAAACTTAATAAAAATGTGTTGACTGGATAACTTACTAACAGTTACCAATTTCTGCAATATACATTTCTAGATAGAAACCTCATATATTATAGAAACTTCTGTGCCCATTTTGGAGCTGTGAACATTTTAGTTGTTTAATAATATGAAGAGTTTATTGAATCATAAAAGATAATGAATAATACAATTTATTTGGTTTATAAAAAGAAATTGATTCTCTCTCTCTCTCTGTCTCTCTCTGTCTCTCTCTCTCTCTCTCTCTCAGATACAGTCTCACTCTGTTGCCTAGGCTGGAGTACAGTGGCGTGATCTTGGCTCACTGCAGCCTCTGCCTCCTGGGTTCAAGCAATTCTCCTGCCTCAGCCTCCCAAGTAGCAGGGACTACAAGGCACCCATCACCACACCTGGTTAATTTTTGTATTTTTTTTAATAGAGATGGGGT